TTTCCCTGTTTTCAGAGTCTTAGTGCACGAAGGAAAACAGGTCATGGCGGACTCAGGACCCATCTATGACGAAACCTACGCTGGTGGGCGGCTGGGTCTCTTTGTCTTCTCTCAAGAAATGGTCTACTTCTCCGACCTGAAATATGAATGCAGAGGTGGGTGTGAGAACATGATTCATTGGGGCCGTGGGTGGCACAGAGGATGGGGAAGGAACACATATTTTGCTTTTCCTTTTACAAAAGCTACACATCAGGGAAGTAAGCTGGTGGCCTGTCAGGCAGATGTTTGGTTTTGATCAGCCTGAGTTGGTTTTGTCTGTCAGTTTGTTTGTTTTAAATTCAGTGTGAATGTCTTCGGTAGGACAAACACTTTTAAGTTATTCACAGGCTCTACTTGTCCCGCTCTACTCTATCCCATAGTTTTTTATATTTTCTACACCTTCTGGGCTCTTAATGGCATTTTAGATTGCTATCTTTGCTAGAATAAAAGAAAGAAAGGAAGGAAGGAAAGAAGGAAGGAAGGATGGGGGGAAAGGTTCTCTTTAGTTATCACTCTAGGAGCATATTTGAATCAAAATATTATAGATCTAGAAGGGAACTTGGCTTCTATGTGGTCTAAGCCTGTGTCTTCATGTAGATATGAAAATATCCCTATTCTACAGATAAGGTAAGTAAGGCTCAGAGATCCTTCTCAAAAATCACACAAGAATGTTGATTTGTCTTCTTGATTCTGGTGAAGTGTTCTTTTCCCTATCCTTCATTCCATCCATCCACGCACCCATCCATCCATCCATCCATCCATCCTTCCATCCATTTATCCACCTATCCATCCATCCATCCATCCATCCATCCATCCATCCTTCCATTTATCCATCCATCCATCCACCATCCATCCATTCATTCAACCATTCACACATCCATCCATATTGTGGGAACCTTTTTTTAAAATAGAAATAGTGATATTTAGGTTATAGTTAAACAAAATAAAGCAAAACAAAATGCATGGTCCAATCTCCCAAATTCTGTTCACTGTGTTTTGCAGATGTCTGAACAAGATTTGCTGTATTTCCAGCAAAGTACTGTAGACGCGGTTACCCAGACACCTCAGTCCATCCCAGTGTTCCCAGCTTCTCTCTAGCAGACCTCCTGCCCTTGACCCCAACCTTGAGTGGTTCTTCACCTCCTGTCATCAACCCAAGCCCACGTGCCTTCAGAGGATGAATATTAATGGACACGAAAGATGAACATCCAACCCACTACAGGAAAAACAGTTTGATGATCCGTGACACTTTATGTGGAGTGAAAATCGAGCATGATATAACGTTGTTTTCTCTTGTGTGTTTAAAAAGAATGACGTTTACATATGAAATGTAAGTACTTATTTTATTTATGTGTATATGGAGCTGAAGGGAATATTGTGTATAAGCAATTATCATAAATTAAGCATTTATGCTTAATATTGCTACATTACTTCCAGTGCCTTAATTTTGGTGCGAGAGCACCCAAATCCTGTTAGGTCAACTATAAAGAAGGGTCAACTCAAGTCTGAATAATGCCATTTTCAGAAAGAGGTCAGGAGATACCAGTCACACATGTGGGATGTCAAATAACTAATTGGAACATCAAAAATAATTATGGGAATAAATGAATACCCCTCCCCCACTCTCTTGTCCTACAATGGAAGCCCTCACTGATGCTCTCTCGTCAAAGAAGGAATATCCTTGCAAAATGGCCCTAATGTGGGTGCAGACGTGGGCCTGGCAAAGCCTCGTCTATGTGAGGGTTTAACCTAGGGAAGTGCTGTCACCGTGGTTGGCCCCTCCAGCCATTGTGGACCTGAGAGAACTCGTGGCCAGTTGTCACTTGATTCCGAAGTCTGATCCCTAGAATCCTCGCTGGAGCTCCTTTCCAAGCTGCTGGGGAAGAGTCAGCAGGCAAACAAATCAGCAAATGCATTTTGGCATCTAATCCCTATTCTAGGCTTTGAAACTATGGACGGATTGCTTTTACCTAACTTGGTAACACATTCCATTAAGGTTCCAGTTATAAATGTTGTGCTAATATTTATTAAGTGAATATAGAATGCAGTTCCGTTCACCAATAACTTATTTTAAATATGACAAGTAGCACTTATGTAAGTATAATTATCTAAAAGTAAACATATAACTAGCCTATAATAATATAAAGATACAGTTACAGCAAAATATCTTCAAAATACAAGACTTTATAATATTATGTTGTCATCATAAAACATGCTGCAAAATGTGATAGAATAAATAAATAATAATGAAGAGTGTATAATGGAACCTTAATATATACTGTTGCCGGTGACTTTAATTCAGTATTTTTTAGTGTTATCTGCTGTACATAGGATTTTAAAGACTTAGAATGCCGA